TTGAAAAACATCATTGATGCAATGCCAAGCAATCGTATTTGTGCAGAATTCAGAGATATAACATCTTGGCTTCTATACTGAGAGAAAATATTACTGGGAAAATATTGGAAGCAGCACGACTTTTCATGAAACTGCTGTTCCTGAAAGGCTAATAACCATCAAGTCCTCTTGCCTCTTCATTGATGCTATGGCTACTGGCCAGCAGTGAAATGCACTTCCCTTTGCTACCGGTTCGGGAATGGTGAGCATACGCGCTCGCTCGCTACGCTCCTGCGCGCCTCTTCTGCACATACACAGAGAGTCAAAAACGGGATGTAATGATGTCTCGGTGGGTGGCTGGAGTCTCCTGCCGCCGGCGCTACCAGTTTGTGCGAGCCTGATAGTTCCAGCTGAATTTCACCACTGCTACTGGCCCTTCAGGGAACAAAGGCCTCCAGAAAAATAAAAACACAATTCTAACATTGACAAATCAGTGGTGGAATGGAGGAAAGGAGATTTTCCTTCCTACTCTTAGCTATGTAGATCTACTTTAGGCTCAGCTATCATGCAAGCTTTAGGCCATAGGGGTTGAAGAACTTTTGTCTACACTAAAGTGAATGTAAGAGGTAGAAGATGCAGACTAGAAAGACACAAAGCATATGGTATCCCTACTCCATGGCATTTAGACAAGGGCAGCACAGGTCATCATTTAGAGCAGGGGTGGGGAACAATGGCCCTTTTATGACTTGTGGACTTCAACTCCATAATTCCCGAGCCAGCATGGCTAGCTCGGGTATTATGGGAATTGAAGTCCACAAGTCATAAAGAGCCCATCGTTCCCCACCTCTGGTTTAGAGTTTTCAGAAATAACCCAGGACCTCTTCAACTGTGGTGCACCAAAGAGTATCTTTATCATCCAATTGGATTGTGCCCGGTCACCTAGCATGCTAACTTTAGCTTGGAAAGAATTCTTTTTACGTCAGATGTTCTGTTTCTATGTAGACCCCATATAGATCAACCTCTCTTGGAATTTTAGCAAGCATAATTTGCTCTTTCCATCCTAAAATCAAAAGCAGATTCACAGACATTTTCTCAGTTATGAACTTAAAGGAGGGAGTGGGGAATCACTGAGGTTAGAATGGCAACATTCCTGGGAAATATGCAGTTTTCTCCCATTATTCAGGTGCCATTCTTCTTGTCTCAACACTCAAATACATTATCTCCTTACAGTTTTCTCACTTCTGATCATCTTGACTTCAATTCTTTCCCCACTGCTCTAGACCCATATTTATTTTGGAAATATTTTAATGATTACTTCCTAACTGGGAATTGTAGTTCTATGAGGGATTAAGGTAATAAAATGATCACTATCATCACCCAGCTGCAATTCCCAAGAGTATTTGGAAGGAAAGCAATTTCAATTATGAGATTTTTGATGTATACTTTTAACGTTGGGCAAGACCTATTTAGTTCCTGTATGTGGGGCTGATTGAAGGGAAATCCTGGGAGTAAGAGTGGGTTTGGATTTCAGCTCTAAGGACAAATGAGAAATAAGAGTTTCCTTGTGGGCTTCTATTCAATATTGAGTTGGCTGGGAGCCACAAGGGGCCACCCTTGTTCTGCAACAGAGTAAAAGAGTAGAGAAGCCTTCTCATTAAGGCAATGTGCTAGATCATGTCCGTTGAAGCAATACAGTGATTTATTACTGGGTGTTTATGTGATGTCACTGAATAGCAAGGATTTCCCTCCTCCCTCCGTTCTTTCCTCCCAACATTACAAATTACATGAAGAATTTTATGTTGTCATTGTAGAGGCTAAACAGGAAAAAACACACAATACCAGAACACCCAAGCCTTCACTTACTCACTTGTTTTATCCACAATCATATTCATACACGTCACTTGTGCTGATTCCAACATTTGGGCCAGAACAGAGTAAATTTCTTAATTTATTAAACCTTATTAAACCTCTGCAATACACTACATCTTTGGACATGCTTTCAAGGAAACAAGACATTAGATAGTGTTGAATTGTTCAGACTGCTTAACAAGTGTAATGATTTGTGTAAAATTGTATCACAATCCTGTGCTTACCCTTTTTAATATTTCCTAAAATATTACATTCTCCTACGAGATGGGGTGGTGCTAACTATCTTCAATACTATAATCCTGATGAATCATGATGTCTGAATCATAATAGTCATGATGTAAGGTTACTTTTCTTTGAACTATGGTGCTGGAGAAGACTCCTGCAAGTCCCTTGGACTGCAAGGCAATCAAACCAGTCAGTCCTAGAGATCAACCCTGTGCTATTTAGAAGGCCAGATCCTGAAGATGAAACTCAAATACTTTGGCCACCTAATGAGAAGGAAGGACTCACTGGAGAAGAGCCTAAAGCTGGGAACAATTGAGGGCAAAAGAAGGGGACGGCAGAGAATGAGGTGGCTGGATGGAGTCACTGAAGCAGTCGGCATGAGCTTAAATGGTCTCTGGGGGATGGTAGAGGACAGGAAGGAGGAAAGTTGTCCATGGGGTCACAATGGGTTGGACACAACTTTGCAACTAAGAGCAACAACAACAAAGGTTACTTTTTTTATCCTCTTTCATTCTTCACTCTTCTAAGGCAGATTTATTTCTTCTGCAATATTATGTATTTAATAGTACATGTGTTCACAGTGGCCAGAATTGTATTTGCACAACATTGGAAAAGTGTGGAGATCCCCACAGATGAGAAGATAGTAAAAAAAAATACTGCAGAATGTGCAGAAATGGAAAGATTAACACTTGAAATCAAAGAGAAGGAAGATACGGGATATTTTGAAACATGGAATTCGTTTTATCTATGATCTGTTTTATCTATCTGTTTCTGTTCAGAAACAGAAATTAGAACATTTAAAATTATAAGCGAATGATTAATTTTACCATGAGGGTTTATTATATGTTTATTATCAATATGATTTAGTATTAACAATTAAGTATTAATATTATGTGGAGAAAATACTGTTATTATATGATCACTACTAATGGACATTATGATGATGACTATTGCTCAAATTAACTGTAACCAGAACAACACAGTTTATATAGACATTGAAATTGTTGCTCTTTCTTTATATAGTAAAAAGAAAAAAATATTAAAAAAAAAGAAAAAAGTAACTATATACCAATTATTGTAGCCAATTAAAGTATTGTTGTTGTTATTAAATTATTATTATTATTCTGTAAAAGTAGTTAAAATTATAAATATCTTTTCAATAATCAAATATAAACAGGTTTTGAAAAATCATTTGTATTTCAATACCAGGTCTCCCCACTCTCTATGTGTTTTGTTTGATATTAGTCCCATTCTCACAATTTACTTATTCATCAGTTAAATTCCTAATTGGTAGTTCTGGTATCACAGAATTACCCTGACTGGACTCACTTTAGGAATAGGATATCAACTTACTTTCTTCAAGAAGAGGCAGTATCCCATGAGCCTTTGTGCCAAGACAATACTGGCAAGCTTTCATTACATCAATATGTACCTCTTTTCTGATTGGCTAAGCAAGTAATGAACAGGCATGGCAGGATTACTTGTTAGAGTCAAAGTGTGTCTATACTTTGGCAATGATATCTATAAAAGATCAATTAGTCTGGTGGACCAATGGACCGCTTTTTATTCTTTCCAACCGGGGTGGGTTCTAAATTTTTTTACTATTGGTTCTGTGGGCATGGCTTATTTTGTGGGTGTGGTTTGATGGTCATGTGACAATTCTTTAGGGTTTAGCAGAGGTACTGATCTACCAGGCATTTAACTGCTTGCAGAGCTGTACCGGTCTACCCATTTGTTCTTGGAGCGTTCTGGTCTACCCGTTTGTTTTTGGAGGCACCAGTCTACCCATTTGTTTTTGGAGGCACCAGTCTACCCATTTGTTTTTGGAGGCACCAGTCTACCATTTGTTTTTGGAGCACACTGGTCTACCACCACACTGCCTTTTAACACTGATCAGCCGTAGGGAGGCCCTTTGAAGCCCCACAGCAAGAGTTTAAACAGTTTTTTTTTCCTTCTAGCCGATCAGCTGGGACTTGGGAGGCAGTGAATAGATTGGGGGCGGGGCCAAATAAAAGGTAAGAATAACGCGGGAGGGGGGCAGGAGGGCCCAGCTCCTGAACAAAGAGAACCGGTTCAGTGACGTCATATCGTCAGTGCTACCGGCTTGGCCGAACCGGGTGGAACCCACCACTGTTTCCAACCCAACAAAATTTGGGAAAGAATTATGTAAATAGACCCTGTTTTTCTGATCGTGAGCGGGATGACTCTCCACAAATTGAACAGGATAGGACAAAATGTGGTGTGGCAGGAGAAATCAGCAAAAGAACATTTGAATTTGATAATGAGCCAGATCTGTCCAGGAACTCCAGAAGAAAAATCCAGAAGAAACATCCCTTGAAATGCTCCTAACTGCTTCATTCTAAGCCTACCCCCTGCTTGTCAGCAGAGAAGAAAATATAGACTTCTATTTTGGTCACTGCTGGAAAAGGGATTGGAAAGAATTCCAGAAGCCATATTCTGCATCCTTTCCCTACTCCGTTGATGTTTCCATAACACATCCTCACCTCCACCCCCCACTGACCCAGTTAACTGTGGGAACAGGGCTCAGCCTTTGCTGAAAACGAAGATCATACAAATCAATCATTGGAATCTAAACCAAATTAAGAATGAATTAACAATTAGATGATAATGAGGAGAGTAGCTGTGGCGCTTCCAAATTATTCTAACAAAGATGCTGATGCTTTCCAGCACAAAACGGTGAAGCTCCATGGTTGTTTTTATGCGTGGATAGGGAGTGACAATTGTTTTGGAAAGGGAATGTGTTTGTTGGAACCTAGTATCCTGACTCTCAGCTACTGATAAAATGGTTTGGCTTACAAAAAAAAAATAATAATAATCAGAGATGTTAGTGATTTCTTCTGTTCTGCATTGTAGAAATTACAGATTGAAGTGTACCCCGGCTGCTGAAATAAGCCAATCATGGAGGGAAAGAAGGATGGAAGAAAAGAAATATGTGAAATGTTCATGTTTGTGCCGAAGCTTCCAAAGAAGTCAGTCTGCTTATTCTTGTAAAAAAAAAAAAAAGACATGTGAAGTTATAGGTAATCATGCCTATAATGGAACTGCATGCATTGAGCATTGTTCTTTGGAATCTGTTCAGCAGGATAGAAGAGAATTGAAGACTAGCCAGTGCTGGGAAACTTAACAAACTGGTGAATCAGGGTTTTGCAGCTCTTTGCATTTTGGAAGAAAAAGAAGGCTAATGGCTAGCATTCTGGAATGATAGAACTCTAGCCAAGGAGCTAAATTCAGGTGAGAGTTTGGGCAGAATAAGAATATACATACAATATACACACATCCCTCCTCATGTTGTATCCATGTGTTTTTGTCTGTATTTATACACTGGAAAGCACAGGATTGTTTATATACTGGTCTGGTTTATGGGACCAGAAATGTAGGATGTGGGATAGCTTAGGTTACAATATTCAGGTCAAGTCAGGTCAGGAATATTCCATAGTAGCCAATTAACTACGTTATAGGGATATAGGGCTTTTACAGGTGTGTTTTTTTTAGCTGCCCTCAGAACTCAGGTAATTTTGGTGTTGGGGTGTAGATCACTTTTTCTCATATCAAACTGGTAAAGTTCTGTTAGGCTTTTGGAGACTTATTCTGCTGACGGACAGAAAAAATCCTGAGCTCATCCATATAATTTTTTCCTAATATCTCAGTGGATTAGGAAGAATAAAAATGGCAGTTAGGTACAGTTGAATACTATAGAAATATGGCTACCACCCCAGAAAAATATACCAAGATAGGGTATCAGAGGGCAAACTGAATGGTAGAAGAGGTAGCTCTGAGACACATTACTTATCTTCTGGTTAGGGATAGCCATATTGTCAACAATCCTGTTTTCTATAAGTTCCCAAATTCTACACGTGTGTGTGCTAGGACCAAAGAGCATCATCTCTCTGTGATTTAAAAAGATTGCTACGAGTGTCTCTTGCTTTTTCTATTAGCCCTATAGCTGCTACAACTTAATATAAGTATTCTAGTAATAATTTTACATCACTTGCATAACAAACTGTCTGAATGGCTCTTTGATCCTCCAGACCTTATGGAAGCAAACTATACATAGTTAATTTTATATCTTTACACAACACTGTGATGTATGTGCTCAAATGAACATTAAAGAATATAGAGGAACTATACATAGGTATATATAGCCTCCATTTTAGTGAGGGGATTATGCGCAGACTATTAATGCAAAGTGCTTTTTATACACTTTGACAATGCTTTCCTTTTTCCTAAAACAATACATATTGCCTGAACAGCGAAACCTCATAGTTATGACTGCATTCTTCCAGCATCATTTGGAAAATATGCTTATTGACTAAGAAATATACTGAATCTTATCATAGAAAGAGTAAAGTATGAAGGGAATTCTGATAATTCCCAGAAATTTGCTGTTAATGGATATGAGGGAATTAATAAAAATGATCTGCATCTTAGTCTAAGCATTCATAAATTAGTATATACATCCATAAATTAGCTTATGTTGTTTTAATCAGAAAGTACATTAAGCAAGTGTGTGTGTGTGTTTCTCAATAGGGCCTGCTGTAAAGATAACTTGAAGAATGGAAATGTCTGTGGTTCAATTACCATTCAGAAGAAAGCAGACTTGGAAGGATGCCAATGTCTCATAGTTCAACACAAACATCTGACTTAGCATTATATAGACAATAGGACACTCTTTCTTTGTCTATTAATAGAAAGTGGCGACTTCAATGGCCTGTTATAGTATTAACCATTAGGCAGGAGTATCTGCGCTCTTGTGTGCTTTTACAGGAGAGCATTGTGTTGGGAGGGAAGGAATAATTTAGTAGTAAGGATTATGTTAACTTTTCATTTAAATGGCAAGAAAAAGCATGTTGTACCGAATACAACCAGGATCTTCAGCTCAAATGGTTAATATGGGAACTGCTGACCTCAACAACCAAACTATTACAAAAGAAGCCATTTCTAATGTAATGGGGCAAGGCAGAATTAAAAGGCTAGTTAGCCAATCATACAATTCAGCAGAAAAAAACGCCTACCTAATCCAAATGATAATTTCTTTGCTTTATCATCTGTGACCAAGCAATCAATTTGTACATTGACATACTGCGGCATTTATTGTCATTTCTTATCTGTTTCTCTTGTAGGCTGATTTTCTTCCACTTCATTGCAAATCTTCATGAAATAAAACCATACGCTCTTCCATAGCAACATTCTAATACAAACACAGACTAATCTTTGTTTGCTGGAATACACAGTTTCTCTCTCTCTCTCTCTCTCTCTCCCCCCCCCCCTTATTAACACAACCTGCATCTGCATGCAGTTCAACCAAATTCCATAGCAACCATATAAATAAAAATGAGTGTTTTTTAAAAAAAAATTCTTTAAAAATATTAAAATCTATTTTCCTGGAAATAGCTTGGAACATAAAAGGAAGAATGCGGTGTTTGTAAGCAAAAAACAGCTTGAACTGAGCAGCATCACTGGTTATAAAAGGATTCTTTGCAACTTTCAGCTATAAAATACTGTTATGCGGCCTTAATTTGCATTAACTAGAATTACACAAATTCTCATCACCGTTCATCTATTACATGGGTATTGTTCCAAAATAAAAATTACAAATAGCATTTTTAAAGAGAAAAGCTACATGTTTGGCTTGAGAAAACAGTTATGCTTAAACAACCGATTTTGTCTCCTACCATAACTAGTGAGATATATTAATTGTACATACAATATGTTTAAAAGAAACAAAAAAGATGGAGGTAAAACTACCACAGGCAGAATTAGGCATCAAAACTTGAAGTTAGCTCAAAAAGTAATTTGAAAATTAAATAAAATTAAATAAGCATTTTGGTACCTTTTTAAAAAAGTTCCCAACCTTATTTTAAAACACATATTTTGAAAAATGTATATGGTTGTATTTGTCTACTGTTTTGGCAGGATAAGGGAATTCTTACAGCATAGTGAGTTCCATAATATCCTACTGCAAAAATATTACTATCAATAATAATAGTAAGACTATTGAAATGTTACAAGGGGTGAACAGCAGTGCTGCTATTTAATCTCTCCTATCCCCGTAACATTTTGGCTTTCCCATACTGGGTAACCCAAAAGGAATGACAGGGAAGGTCCTCATATGGTCCAAATCTGGGTGGGTTCAGCAAATGTTACAGTAGATGATATTCCACTTTCTTTCAGTTATGTAATACTGTAATTATTTTTTTCAGTTCATTTCAAATGCTGCTTCTTTCAAGTGAGTTCAAAAGTGACTTCATCAAGAGGACCAGTTCATTCAGTCTCTCCCTCTGCAAAAGATCTGACAAACAAGGAAAACAGTTCCAGTAGATGATCCAGAAATACTTCTGATGAGTCAGAGGCAAGACCTGACCCTCCTTTCCTCCCGCCTTAATGGATCCCTACTACTAATTAAACTTATTATTAAACTAACCCAGGGATCTCCATGAAAGCTTCCAAGTAAGATACTGGGGAAATCACCTAGAGCGAGTGCCGATAATACTTTGTTAAACAGTTCGTGGGCCCAAACATATAAATGATGTTCACATTCTTATTCCTTGGGATCCTCTGAACAGGCAGTTAATCTAATAAACAGGCTGGAAAGCCATTAAAAAGCTTGGCTGCTGCTTTGATATTTCTTTGTGTCCTGGAACAATGAAGGGCTAAGCTACATTACCCACTCTCCCCCTTTTTATAAAAACAAGACAATAAAGTTATCATAATAAATAATATTTACTCACCCTTTCAGGCAAGGACAATGAGCTAATGTTTATTTAGTATCTTGAAGCTACAAATGTACCAACCCAAGAGCTATTGCCACAGCAGTTTTTCCAGTGCGTTGTCCAATCTAGCTTTAAATGACTCAGTTAATGAGATGCTCATCATTTCCCCAGAGAAGCCACTGCATAGAAGAGCAGTTAAGTAAGTTATTGAGATGTTAGGTTATTCATCAAAACTCTGTCAGCTGCTTTTTAATTATTTATTTGAAGTCCATCCTGAACCAGCACGTCCATTTGGCAGATAAGTCAGGGCACGTGGGAGTCTTTTGCTTACTATAAAGGATTCTCATACTATTCTCCTTAATAATACGATAAAGTATGATAGATTGATTCACAATCTGCTGAATGAGACATCCAAAGTACTCCTTATTAGCTCCATTTTTGGCTTGGATTGAAGTATTGAATAAGGTCCCCAGGACTCCAAGTTGTAGATCCTGTGCTATTCTTCATCTTTATCAATGATTTGATAAAGATGAAGAATCTTTATCATCTTATCCTGAATGGCAGGGTTGATGGATGCGTAGCAAGTCTGCAATTGACACTAAGCTGGGAAATCTGGCTAAATACTTATGAGAAGTTGTTAAGCGTCCCAGACTGACTTGAGCTATGGGATGAAATGAACAGAATGGAATTTAACAGCATCTAGACAGGAAAAATATAAGGCACAAGTCTAAGATCAGCAAGGCTCGGTTTGGTATTTGTTTAATAGAAAAGGATCGTATTCTTGTTAATCACAAGCAATATATGAGCTAGCAGAGGGATGCAGATGCTGAAAGGGCTAACAATATCCTGAGATACATTAACTGGATCCTAAATCACAGGAAGTAATTGTTCTACTCTATTCTGCCCTGATTTGAATGCACCAGTTCTTGCACCCTTGTTTAAAAAAGTCTGTGAGAAACTGGAGTGAGTTGGAAAAAAAAATCAAAATGTAAACCAACATTTTGTTGATTGTTGATGCCCAATCTTTTTTCTATAGGGCAACTGGGCATCTTTATTCTATAGTAGAGATGGCTGAAAGAAGAAACGATAGCAGTCTTCAAATATCTTAAGACAGAGTTAGCATATTGCAGAAGGAGTGGACTTATGTTCTATTCCCGAGTGCAAAATCAGAACTATAACTACAAAGAAGTAGATTCAGTGGTGAGTTCTCCTTCCCTGGAGGTCATCAAAAAGAGGTTGAGCATGTATTAGACACGCTGTGGGGGAACTTGCATGGAATAGGTTATGACTAGAACATAGAATAAGAAGAAGGTTGGAGAACTTCTAGTCTGATCCAAGCTGGAGACCCTATGCCATTCTGGCTACTTGGTCTCTTCTTGAAAACCTCCAATGATGGAGCACCTACAACTTTTAGAGATAAGCCATTCCAATTGTTCCATTGTTATGAAATTTCTCCTTAATTCTAGATTAGATCTCTTTAATTATCTTCCACTCATTACAGTAGCCCTTGACTTATCACAGTTCATTTAGTGACCATTTAAAGTTACAACGGCACTGAAAAAAGTGACTTATTACCGTTTTTCACAGTTACATTTGCAGCGTCCCCATGCTCATGTGATCAAAATTCAGGTGCTTGACAACTGGTACATACTTATGACCATTGAAATGTCCCGAAGTCATGTGATCACTTTTGTGAACTTCTGACATCCAAAGTCAATGGGGAAGCCAGATTCACTTAACAATTTACCAACTGCAGTTATTCCTTTAACAACGGTGGCAAGAAATGTCACAAAATGGGACAAAGCTCACTTAACAACATAAATTTTAGGCTCATTTGTGGTCGTTAGTCGAGGACTACCTGTACACCTGAGCTCAGGACAAGACCCATTTCATTGACATCCTTTTCTCTGTGACAGCCCCTCAAATATTAGAACACTATCATATCACCCCAAACCTTCTTTTTGTTAGATATACAAAGTTCCATCAATCGTTCATCATATGGTTTAGCCTCCAGACCTCTTATCATCTTTGTTGCTCTTCTCTGCACTCTTTCTAGGATCTCAACATCTTTAGTTATTTTGATGACCATATCATTAAGATATCCTATAACTCAATGAATTTATGCGATAGCCAGTGACTAAAAAAAAAAATAGTAACATTTCAGTACTATAGCTATAGGTCATTACCCCAGAGGCATGCCAGTGTTGAGCTGAATGATTGAACTTGTTTAGTAGTTTAATATCATACCTTTGCAAATAATTAGAGCTGTTTAGATTTTTCCAGCTATTCTAGGTTCCTTCCCTACATTCCAAAGCTGGTACATCAACAACAAATGACCCGAGAACAACAACAAAGGCAACAAATGGATTAACTAGATTCTGACTCATGATCCTCAATAACATTCCCCCACCCCCAAAATGTCCTATGGTAAATACCTTTGCCACAACAAATGGCAACAATTTGACCTTGAAAAAATGAAGTGTCACATTTCTTCATTTTGTTCACTCTGCCAATATGGTTATCCAATACCTTCTTTAAAATAGCTAGAACTCTCTTGAGAGTAAAACTGGATGTGCTTGTGATTTACTAACTAAAATATGTTAAAGCTCACTGGTACCGTCCTTACTGTTAGTAAAGGATGCTGCATGTGGAACCCTTGGTCTTCTCTATCTTATTAAAAAGTATTATGTGAAAGCTTCAGTTGATCCAAAGGTATGATGGATAGGAAAAGTTAGTATTTTTAACTCCTTAGGGCATGTGGAAGATTGTAACATGGAATACAGGAGAAACATACCATATTTTTCGGAGTATAAGAAGACGCACCTTAGTTTTTGGGGAGGAAAATAAGAAAAAAGCTGATTGGCAAGTGGATCAGCCTCCCAGAATATCCCCAATCAGCTGTTCCCAGAGGTGAATTTTAGAACAGGTTCCTTGGTTGTGAGCTCTGTGCCTTCCTTTTTTTTCTGCCTCTGAAACTTCTGAAACTCCTTTTCAGAAAAAACTTTTTTTCCTGCCTCTGAAAGCCTCTGAAAGAGATCTTCACAAAAAAAGCCTCTAAAGCTCTGTTTGGGGGCTTCTTTTCTGAAGCTTTTTTCAGCCTCATTTGAGAAGCTGGGCGGGGCTCATTTGGAGTATATAAGACGCCCCCAGATTTTCACCCTCTTTTTGGGGGGGAAAAAGTGCATCTTATACTCCGAAAAATATGGTAATTCATAAAATAAAATTTAAAAATTGATAAATTGTGAGTATGTGAAACAAGAAGCAAGGAGAAACATACAATAGATTTGAATTGAAAATAGTTAATTTTGTGGAGTGAAACTGAATACAGACAGGAAAGTAGAGATGTATGTGATAATGGAAGATGTGAGTTCACTTCCAAAAGGTATTTTGAGGTCTTCTGAGTTAGTGTTTCTCCACCTTGGCAACCTTAAGATGTGTGGACCTTCTTACATAATAATCTCTGGAATTGAGCATGGCTAGTCTGGTGAAGAGAAGGGCCAGGTGAGACATGATAGCAGTCTCTCAATATTTAAGGGGTGCCACAGAGAGGAAGGGGTCAAGCTATTTTCCAAAGCACCTGAAGGCCAGACAAGGAATAATGGATGGAAACCGAACAAGGAAAGATTCAACCTAAAAATAAGGAGAAATTTTCTGACAGTGAAAGCAACCAACCAAAGGAACAGAAGTTGCCTTCAGAAGTTGTGGGACCTTCATCACTGTAAGCTTTCAAGAAGAGACTGGACTGCCATCTATCAGAAATGGTGTAGGGCTTGGGCGGACGGTTTGACTAGATGACTCACAAGGTCCACCTCTGTTAATCTGTTAATTAAAAAAAGAATTATGAATTAAAAGATATGTCAAAGAGTATCAATTTAATGATTGTGGATTGACGCATGTTTTGCTCCCAGGAATGGCTTTATTAATGGAAATATTTGTGAAAAAAATGTGCAATATTAATGCAATCGACAGGAAAAATATTCTATTAGATGATGTGAATGAATGGATGAGAAATGAAAGTAGAGAAGTGATTGAGCCGTTTAGAAATATCTTGGTGAATATCTACTTTAAAAAAAGGTTTGCTTTGAATACATGGCTTAAGCATAAAGGAGTACAAAGAAAATCTAAAAGCTGACTGAATGTTTGAACGTGATGGAAACCATAAATGATAGAACTTCATGGAATAATTAACAAGTGCTTGAAAATAGAGATGCGATTCCTCATTCTTTAACATATTTATGATATATCTAAAGAACTTGAAGCTATGTTGGTTAGGGACATGAACATACAACAAATATTTACACTGACTGAGATCAAGAAATGAAAATAAAGCAAGCTTGCAAATTCTATAAAATTCTATTGTACAGTTGATCCTTTAATCTTTATTGAATTTATTTGTTCAGTCTGTACTGTTTTTCAGTGATTATAGATTTTGAATTTTTTAAATGTAAAAAACAACATTCAAGACAAATATATTTGCTGAATATTTCCTCAAAATGATACATGTAACATAAAATATTCCAATTTATATTCCACTGATATCTTCAGGAGCTATCATGGATTTCCCCTTCTTCCTCAGAAGAATCTTCCTTAATCATGTCTTCGTTAGATGTATTGATTTCTAAAGGGGAAAAAGAAATATAGTTATACAGTTTTTGTTATTTACTCAATCTAGTTGCTAATGGGACTATCTATAAGCACACCATTATTAATAAATAGCTTGTCATAAGGTGCAGAAATTCTGGATTTGCTATAAAATTATAGTCCTCAAAATAATATAGGTAGCCCTGATTTAGCAAGTGCCTTGCACAACAACTTTTCAAAGTTAATGATGATGAAAAAGTAACTTTGGGATCCATCCTTACATATAAGCCCTTCCTAGGTCTGTAAAACAAAGGAAAGCTGAAGTAAGATCATAAGCACAGTTGCTGTTTCACTTAGCAACCACTTCACTTAACAACTGAGTTGCTTGTTCCAAATTGTGTTTGCTAAATGAGGACTATCTGTAAAAACATTGCTAACAGTAAAAAAAAAAAAAGGTTCTGTTATCCTCTGATCAATTAAGATAGTTTCAAATATTTAATCTAGGGGTGCATGCTAATGTCTTAAAACTAACAAAATGGGGAACAGAGGAAAAAACAGAATGAACTATACAACCCATTTGGGTCATTGTTTCAGCTAAATAATTGTGCACTAGCCCCTCTGCTCAGTCGCACAACCCCATGTAACATTCTTGTACCCCCTCCCTGCCCTATCCCCCCTTGATTTATGCTGCATCCTTGCCACACTTCTCAGGTAATCTCCCTGGCTCTACACATTTCACACCCTGTCCAATCCTTGCACTACCTTGTTCCCTCCACTACGTGGCAGCAGCCACTTACTTGCCTACTGGCTTTAAACTTGCAATTTCCTGCGGTCTTCCCCACTGATTTTGCTTGTGGAAAGCTTGCAGGGAGGGAAACTGCAGGGCAGGTTACAAGTTGCTTGGGTAAGTCTCCCCCACCTGTACACCATTCCCCAGTCCCCCTACATTCATGCTGGCCACTCACACACTTTCATGCACTGTCCTGACCAACAGGACATCCTCACGCACTTCTCCAACCTGTGCTGCACCCTTGCTACACTTCTAACGCTTTTGAAAGCTTGCAGGGACATGAGCGATCACAACTGAGTTTAGACTGCTGGCTTCCCCAATGAATTGTGGAATACTGTCAGGTAATTTGGAAATGACAATCACATTTCCTGCTCTGGCTTGTGGGAAGCTGCCACAATTTTTAAAAGTTTCAGCCCCAGGGGAGTACCGTGCCCCAGATTTTAGACACATTCTAAAAGCTAGCCACTTAAAGTAGCTTGGTCCAAAAATTGTTGCCCTATGATGCGCTGTTTTGCTCAATTGAAAATTAGAGACACAAGAGTTTTAGCAGTATATAGATACTATGTCAACCCTGTCCCAAAATCAAATCTGTGCCAATAATCAAATGCCCCTAATTATTGACAGCAGTTTCTTAAGAGCTGATTTTAGGAACTCACTCATCCTCTACTCTATGGATCAGAATGCTTGCAATAGAACTGTCAGAAAGTAATAACACCAAAGTAGTGTTAGATATTCTGTGGGCTTGGTCAGGCTTCATGAAAAGGATATCTATTTTTGATAAAGATCAGCATTCCTTTTACTATTTGTTTTAAGTTCTAAAAAAATATTATTAATTATTTTATCCAAGATGATTCATCCCCTCTCATATTATTATGTATGCTGGAAAGGTTCTGGGCAGAAGTTCTGTGAGATATAGTTATGACATTTAGGACAAAAACTGAATACGATTACTATGCCAGAGAAAACCTGGTATTTCCTTTTCCTGCAATTTATTCTGATAATCTGATATTTGGTGTCTGAACTCAAGCTTTAATGTCAAAAACTTCTGTGATGTGGATCCTAATGATTGGAATTTCAGAATCACATTGAATTTCAACTTTAGCCCCAGATGGAAGGGTGATTTGGATCATTATTCAGAAAATGACCTTTCATTCATTTGAGATTGATACTTGTCTATTGATACTCGTCTCCTATTCTGTCAGAATTTTGAGCAGAATTCTGTCTGCTCAAAGAAATGGAAGATTTGAAGGCTTGCTGAAAGAGATTATATGTTGATCTGATATTACCTCAGGAGCACTTTTCTTTTCTTACTGTATATTTTCCATTCTTACAGTCCTATTTTCCCACTCTTTATTTAGCTGGTAAAATTATTCCTATAATCAAAGTAAAGAAATATGAAAATGGAACATATGCCCTTTACGCTTCTCCCAAAGAAACTATTAACGTGTGATGTAGGAACTCCGGTGTCCTCAGTTGAGAAGTCAGTAAGGGAAAAATAATGTCTCTGTTTCAAAAGGTCCAATGAGATATGATTATCTGCTATGAGGCATCTCCATATTTGAGAAGAACGCAGTCCATCAGAAACCCAGTGTGCAAGGCAGTGTGCACACTGCCTTGTGTTTTGGAATGACAAAAAGGGAAATTAAAAAGTTTAAGAGATAAACAAACCCCCCCCCCCCCGGCAATAATTGTGGATGACATAAAAGGGTTCCTCTCATTTCTGACAGATGGACGTACATACAAATATGCACAAACATATACTAAGAGAATCACTTCCACGGGTTTATGACTGAAGGAAATCTCTAGTTGAGGTTTCAGCTGAAATAAAAATGTTTGGCCTGCCAAGTTGGAGACGTTGCACAGAATTACTTTCTTTTGTTATTTTTCCTTAAGAGGTCATCTAAAATTGCTTTTCTTTCAGGGCAATACCTTTGTGGCAAAAAGTCAGAGAAATCAGAAATTATGACACCACTATGTTTCACTGCAAGTATTAAGAAAGCAACATATGCAATTTTTTATAACAGCTAATAAAATAATTTTGTCAGGTGGTATTGCATTAAGGATTTTCTTAAGATTTCTAATTCATGCAGAAAACTGTTGAATCCTGGTATCTCTGCACATTTCAATATTTCAACAGAGTGCTGTGGAATAGGAGCCAAAGATATCGTAATCAGGACTGCCTAATGCCTGGCTGTTGATGTCATAGTGTGATCACTCATTTCCTGATGTGCTCATCACCTGGCTCCTGGTGCATTTCAGCTTACCCCAATTCTCCTTTCATAGCATTATTAACTCTTGCTCAAATGAGGTCAAGTAATTTTACATAAAGAGAGGAATCCACACCCCCTAGTAAGGACCACTTATTTTACTGAAACAGAACTAATGGAAAACTTACAGGAAATAATGAGCACTGAGAAACAGAATAAAAACTAGAATGTCACCAACATCTTGATAATTCTATCAAGAAACATCTTAATAACTATACACCAGAAATGTACTGGATTGATCAGAAAAAGAAAAGCATACAAGGTCTTTTTTTTCTGAACTGAGTCAGTTTTTTTTTTTTAAATGTATAGTGTATCAAGAATAGAGAGATTGGTTTTTCTGTAAAATTTATTCTTTCAGCTGGATAGCAATACAAGTGGGGTTCAAGCATCCAAACAAAATTTGGATCTTCTGGCTTCTGCTGTCATATAATTTATGAGAATTCAGAGATTCACCATATGCTGGCAACAGTACCATTACTGTTGAAATGAGTGAGCTTCCCCTAAAATATGTTTGCTGTTAAATTTTTCACAGTTAACCAAGAACTATCCTTGGAACTGGAAATCTCTTATAGCTAGCATAACTTTTTATCTTTTTAGTGCCTTTGCCTCTTCTTTTCTCTCTGGATATCTGTGCTGGTTAGATAGATCCTATGCTTTATCATTTTCTTCCTTTGCATAGTGCTAATTCACCTTTATTCCATAAAGACAGAAGTGTATTTCAGGAAACTAATGGAAAACCCATAAAATTTACTCAATCCTATCAAATTCAAATACAATTTGCTGATCTTTTTTGGTGCTCTTCAGTCACCTTGGAATATATAACTCTATATAATAGGCAGCTCAAGACTGCCTATTTCTTTGTATCCTAGCCCTATCATTCCCAAACTGTGCTCTATGGTGACCTGGAGCACTGAAGAAAATTCACAGGGGTGCCACAGGATAGTTTACAACTTAATAAATTATTTAAAATATGCAAATAATGTTTTTACATTGTAATCCCCCCAGAGTGCTGTAAAGCACTATGGGGTGGTGTATAAGCCTAAAATACTACTGCTATGCTATTACTACTGTGTTTCCCCGAAAATAAGACCCTGTCTTATATTTTTTTGAACCCTGAAATAAGCACTTGGCCTTATTACCATACGCTCAAAAGCCCGAGTGGGCTTATTATCAGGGGATATCTTATTTTGGGGAAAACAGGTTATTAATAAACGGAACAGTTGGTGAGTTTGTTCTGGAACCATGGAATGTGGCACCATAGAATATCATGAAAAACAGTTTGAAAACTACTAGGGATGCTGGGAACCAAGGAAGTTTAAGTACCAACTGAATTGAATTGAATACCTTCCATTTTACCCATTTTTCTTTTCTCCCTCCAAGTCCAATTCCAACACTAGTAACTTCCTGTCCCCTTCTTGCGCATGTCAATTTTCCTTCCTGTCTATAAAAAAACATTACTTTTCATCCCCCAGCTCTTTCTCAGCCTCAGATTATACGACATATAGTCTGAGAGATCATGTGACAGGATGTCAGAGAGTATATATATTTTATTCATTCCATCACACTAATTCTACACTACTAGTTTTCAACTTTTATTTAAAAAATTAATGGGCAAGGCCTTTTAGTAATTGCTGAACTGTTATGAGCATCCCTGGTAATTAAAGTTTAATAGCCCTTGAAGGCACCCTGGGTTCTCAACTTTAATGGTTTCATCCTACACGAAGCAGAATTTATAGCCAGACATAATTTGAACATTTGAAGCTCGGTGTAGTACATAGACTTCCAATTAATCATTTGTTCTGGAAAACTGGGTCCTTTGTTCTGGAAAACTGCATATTAAAACACATGCTACACTACATTATCTGGAAGAATATTTGTAAGGCATCTATCCTATAAAATTCAATTACTTAGAAATCAGAACTGTAACATCTTGATATATTTCCCACAAAATAAATGAGCAAATAGGGGGAAAATGTTTTAGTGAGTTATTGCAACAATTAAGTTACATGAAATTTAAGTAGAAAGAATAAACATATATGCCAATCATGTATCTGCTGTATATGATTATGACATTCATAGACCACTACCTAAGTATATGTTTATTCACTGCATCAGATATTATTTAGAATATACAACAAATACCTTTGTTTACATTCTGGCCAAGAATCACCATATCTGTTGTGAATTTCCGCAATACCACATGCAGAGTTGGATATTCAATGACAATCTTCCCTTTCAAATTGTCTAGAAGGCTTTTATTGGCATCCAATTCTTGATACCTTTTGGAAAGGATAATAAGCATAGTAAGTATTATACAGAGATTTGATTATTCCAACATAAACAATATGACTTTTTTTAGGAACAAACATTCATTTGCTCTAATCAGATGTCAGCCTTAAAAAAAAGGTGACAGGTTTGCTGATCAAACTTCAGCTTTCTAGGACATGTGAAAATATGTTTGATGAGTCACTTTACAAGACCTATTTTAATGCAGTGCCAATTCACCTTGTATTCCATAAAAAGATATGTGTACTTCAGGCTATCAATGGAAATTCACTAAAATTTATTCAAATATGAGGTAATAATAAATCTCGTACAGCTCAACATTCTGTTGTAATGTGCAATTTCATATTGTTGGCCTTTATAAACAGTCCATTTTTAGGATGTTCCAACATAAGTTTTTTTTTTCTTTTCCAGCTACAGGAATACCTAATTTGGGCTTTGCTTATGATGTTGAAATAACTTAGCTATGTAGCATTGTCTGAAAGAAAGGGGGAGGGAGGAAGGGAGAGTTACAACTATTTTATTTAACATTTCTTTAGTAAAGAGAATGCCTTTGAGTAAATATGTATCACATTTCAGATTTTCAGGCCATGAAGGCTTAATCAGTGGATTTAAATTTTGAAAAATGTCTCTCTATATATATATTTAGGATTTTTCAAATAGCAAGAATACTTTTAGCATTTTTATTATAATTCTTGCAAAATTTCAATTCACTTAGATGAAAATATCTTAAAACAGTAGGCCATTTCTTTCTGACAAAGATGTAGGCATGTTCCATATTTAGTTTTTGTTTGAAACAAAAAATTGCAAAGTATTTTAGGTGATCAAATCCAATCCCACTGCTCAGTGCAGGAATAAAATCAATCTGTATGCATAGAAAAGCATACACCACATTAAACATGATTGTATAACTAACAAATAATTTAGCAATTTTAAAATACAGAACATTTATTCATTCATTTTGTTTTACAGATTTTATAGGCTGCCTAACTCAGAAGACTCTGGGTAAGTTACAACATGCTAAAATTATAAGCAGCAGTAGAAATCAAAATGATAAAAATAACAGTAATGTTATAAGGGAGAAATATATAAAGTGCTTGAGATGTTTTCTCCTACATGTATATTTCCACATGGAACACAAATTAAAGTCTTCTGTTTGTGCTAGAATGCACCAAACAGATACATTGAAGTGCCTATTTGTTGTTAATGTAATGTGAATTGTAATAATAGACAAAGATAGACATGTAGTATGAACTGAACACACATAGGTGGAACACAAATAAAACCGATACATTTCTCACTATGAATGATGCTAGGTAGGATTACAAGTGCCCCTCCTACAACTTTCTGCAAATAGAAAAATGACACAGTAGTCATACCTTACTCTTTTGCTGTGCAGGAAGTTGCAAGCAAGAGCTTTTAAATCAACATTTGCAATTTAAAGACACCCCATCATGTAATTTCATTTCATTTCATTTCTAGAGCTTATTGAATCTAATAGCTCACCATTATTGGCAATTTATCGGATCTAACAGCCCACCAAATAAGATAATTAATAATAAAAATTACTCTAATGGCTTTGATTCTGTTACATCTAATCCTTTGACTATCGAAGCAAAATGAATGTTACTACCTTAAAAAAATTGTATGGTGGCTATATAGCTGAAAGCATCTTTTAAAAAGGTTTTATTATCCCTTTATCTCACTCGATTTTCTAGAGATAGATGGGCCCATAAGTTATATACCAGGGATGGCTAACCTTTTTGCCGTCACGTGCCAAAAATGGGGGGAACGCAGCCATTGTGGGCACACGCGCGCAGGTTGTGCGCGCGTGTGCCCACATCCATAATTCAAAGCCCCCACGCGCATGCACGTGACCCCCCCACACACACTGCCCCCGCTTTTGGCACACGATGGCACGGTGGGCCTGGTAGGCCCGTTTTTCGCCCTCCCCAGGCTCCAGAGGCTTTCTAGGAGCCTGGTGAGGGCAAAAACGGCCTTCCCCCAGAGGGTCCCCGGAGGCCAGAAATAGCCCATTTCCTGACTTCTGGTGGGCCTGCAAGGCCTGAAAATCAATTGGCCGGCGCGCTGGAGCTGAGCTAGGGCAACACTCACGTGCCCACAGATATGGCTCTGCGTGCCACCTGTAGCATTCGTGCCATAGGTTCGCCATCACGGTTATATACCATTAGAAAAGCAGAAAGAATTCAAATTGCAATACTGTAACTTAGTTTAATCCTGAACTTCTCATACCAACAACTGCAAACTGAATTCCTCAAAGAAAAATTCCATTCGTGTTTCTAGAATTATCCAGATGACTTGGATCTAACACCAATTCCATATACCAGGTACCTTCGCCCCTCCCTCCGATGATGCATTAACAGCAATAACTAAACAATATAATATTTCTAAATAACTATAATAATTTGTATTTAGCCACTTTTTTTTACAATTATCAATGTATCAAATACTACACTTCAGAATAAGCTTTTCATAGGAAAATAATGAGAATGCCAATGTCCCAAACGCCAAATGAACAGACATACATTCCTAAGCAAAATTATAATTATAAAATGACTACCATGCTCTTAAAACCATTATGGGAGCAGGGAGTCTGAGGGATCGAGAAGGCACCAGGTTGTCCTTTTCAATGTCAAATATGCAATTATCCTAATCTGGACTTGTATAGACTAATTTCTGCTATAGAATTCCTTAACAGTAACGACAGGGCACAGGTTAGTATTTTTGATAAAGTTCACAGAGTTAGATTTTAATGGTCCAAATTCAATTAAAATACAGTAATGCAACTTGCATTTCCTGCTTTGAAAAGAAAGAACTTTATGCAAGAGTTACTTCCTTTCACTCCAACTTCAATCATCATGAAAATAATTTGTTTTATTTTTTTACCTCAAGTAATTATGACCAGTTCTTCCTAAACCCATTTTTTAAAAAAGGATAAGAGTATTTTAAATTCAAAGAGCGCTTTCATAACATTTGGAACAGCATATGAGGAGAAACATATTTACTGATTTATTTACAGTACTTTAATACAAAGGACGGCGGTACCTTTCCACTGGCAAGAATCTCCACGCATTCTTTTCTGGTTAAGCAAACATTTACCACCAAAAGGCTAAAGTCATTCACATGCCACAATACACTTTCCATTATCTCATGTTTTAGACAAAACATCCTTAGCGTCCAGCTTGGCAGAGCATAAAACATTTGTACTTTAAACTATTTTATGATAGTAAATTATTCAAGTGTTAGATCACCAAGGCCTAGTTTTAAGTAAACTTCATTGGTTGACAGACAGGGACAACTTCTGGCTAATACCCAAACTTTTGGAAGAGTGTGAAGAGCTAAAGAATTATAAGAGAGAAGAGTTTTTCTTACAGTAATGTCACTAACTAAACTTATTGCCCTGTTTTATTTTTAATTCCTTGGTTACCCCTCTTTCCATTAAAAAGATACTATTCTGTTTCCCTGCAACATAAATTTATTCAGCACTTAAACAAGCCTTGAAATACCTTGTTTATTCAATTTATCAATTTACCTCAGACTTTCAACACTGCTAAAACAACAAGCCTAGGTTTAGGTGTTTAAAAGTTAAACTACAGGGATGACAGTATCAGATTTGACCTTTTTTTATATCAGAAGAAACCACCTCTACCCACCCACAGCTTTTATAATAAAGTTTTATCTCTTACATTCTTGTTGACATCTAATTTCCATGATCAGCGGGAAGGAAGGAAGAGATGAAAGGAAGCTAAGAAAGGACCAGAAGGTTATATATTAATCTTTAGCTAATCATGTTTGGCTAAACATGACAATGTCTCAAAAGATAGGATACAACAAGTATTTACTGCTGGATCATAATTTGTATTCTTTAGTGCTGTGCCATTTGACTCACAGCTTTGTCCTTGTTCTCTTTTAAAGCTTTTGCTTCCTTCTCTCTCTGAATTTTTTTTTTTTTTTCAAAAGTTGGTTACTATCTGCTCTGTCTCTTTCAACCTGGGCTTTTTAAGCTTCTTAATCTTCTCCCAATTTGACAGAAAATTTTCTGAGATAAATGAAAGAGGCAAAGGTGTTGTTTAGTTCACTTCAATCTCTCCTAATTTTAGTTTTCACAGTACCCATGGTAAAGGTGCATTTTTTCATGTCTCTTTATACAAAACGGTCTTTGTTAGTTTCTAATATTTTACTTTATAGATGATGCTATTTCCAGTAAATTTTAAAAACACATACCCTGCCTCTCTGTCATAATGAGGATAAATGGGTAATTATTTTTTAAATAGTTTTAATGAAGTTTTTAAGTGACCACAGTAAAAACAAATCCAAAATAAGCCACAAGGAAAAAGAAAATTTCAAGGGAATTCAGGTGCGGAGGTGGGGGAGAGTAAAAAGTAAACACAATGATAAAGAAGTAGCATCTAACCTTCAGCACACCAAGCATAAGATAATATAGCTTATTGTAATTATAAAATGGGTTAAAATATAACAGACCTTTTCTTCCCATAGCCTAACTTTTATCTACCAACCCATAAATTGTCATCTTTTCAATGCTGCTTCAACAAAAGGTCCAGTAGAAGTTACCAGAAATATTGTACAAATTGTTTATCTCTGATCAAATAGTACAACTTTAAATTCTTTCTTTTCACTCCTCACAATCTTTGTCCTTTAAGTCATTCCAATGGCATTGCAGAATTTAATCTTTCATCAATCTTTGGCATTCAACAGTTTTAATAATGGAAATTTTGTAGCCTGTGAATGATGATAAAGATAAAAATCTTATGGAGTTGCTCTTCATCTTGCAGAGTACTCAGATGAATACTGCGCTTGGGAAAAGAATTCTTGAGTAAGAATTTTTTAAAATATTCTGATATCAGCATATACTGACAAAGATGACTCCTGAAAGCGGTAAATCGGTTAGCATTATATTTTATAGACCAGTCCTCAAGGAAATGAATTTGGGAACCATGTGTGTAACATTTCATAA